TTAAAGTTATGGCAAAACCTAATATTTTTCTCATTCAAAATCAGAAACAAGAAGATATTTTAAGCTCCAAAAAAGCAATTCATTAACATAAAAAATTGTGTTTGTGTTAACAGAATTGATAACACAAACTTTCGCCATCCCGAAAAAAAATCTTGAACGCCTATACTATACGCCTATACTATATGCCTGTACTGATATCTATACTGATAACTATACTGATATCTTACACGACATATATTTATAAAATTAATTTCGAATATCTGGTTTATATTTCTATATGAATATTTCTTAAGAAATAAAAAAAGATTCTAAAAAAAATTGTTTTTTTAAAGAAATGAGGATATGATTTAAAATGCCACTTACCTTTTTCTAACTGTTTCACTATATCTCTGTGAACCAAATTGTGATAATGATTTACATCAAAGCCAAGATTTTTCAACGTGATGGTTAAATTTTCGCAATCGACATTTGTACCATGTCGGGGCTTAAGATGCGAGATGGTGAAGAATTCATGATTGAAGATGACAGCAAGACCACGCTTGGTATGATTCATATTATAGTACGTGGCATAACGTTGAGTAGGTGCTAACTGTGCTAGATTGGAAACAGGAACTATGTTGCTCCTAAAAAAATTTCATTCTAAATTTATTTTAAATTTAAAAATTTAATTCTAAATTTGTTCCAAAAATCAACTTGTTTCACAAATCATGATAAAAATTAAAAATTAATTTTTAATTTAAAAAATTTTTACAAATAATTTGAGATTCTTATTTACCAGATAAAACGATATGAATATATAATGTTTCTCTTTTGTTTTCCAATAATATATTAATAAAATATAATAATAAATTAAAATAAAAATTACTAATTAATAAAAATTAATATATTATTATTCAATATCAAATTATGAGAATTACTATATCTTTATTGTCCATTCTCGATATGCTATAATATGTGATTATGATATTTGTATTTAACATTCCTAGTTCTAATTCCATATAAAAAAAACTTTTCCTTTAATATTTTTTAAAATAAACTTTCCATCACTTTTTTATTATCAAAAAGAAAAATTAAATAAATGAAATCTTTTACATCTTTTTCCTTTTTTCGAGAGAATATAATTGATTTACATCTTTGGAAACTCGGTTGTAAAAACATTCGACATGGATAGTCGGAAAGTTCGTTTTGTGATTGAGGTAATATTTTTCGCAATAAGATTTTTTCGGAAAATCGATATCATATTTAATTATCGTTCTGACTTCGAACTGTCATGTTGTAGATCAATTAAAAATATCGCACGTCGTTAGCGACATGCAATTGTCTAAAACAATTATAAACAATTGTCTAAAACAATTATAAAAAATTATTTTGAATTATATATAAATTTATATATTTATATATAAATTTATATATAAATTAAAAAAATAAATAAATAAGAAATATATACATAAAAAAAATTAATTAAAAAATGACATTAGGCATTTAAGATCCTACTTGCCGAGTAATGCTATTTATTATATATTCTTTAAACATATTCTCGGTTTTACTTGATTTTTTTATACATTTCTAGATCTCACAGTCTTCTGATAATTTTGCGACAAGTACATATTCAAGCTTAAATAAAAGAAATATTTATACTCTGATATATTATGTCTGATATATCTTTTGTTTGCTGAATTTTGATACTATTCCTTAAATATGCATAATTGTCTATCGCAGGATTGTCGAAAGGATAAGATTTATAGAAACATAAATTAAATAACAGCGAGAAACATAGTCGGTTTCTCGGCAAACAGAATCTTAGTTGCTAAATCGTAATATGAAATAAATTCAATAATTATATCACCAACTATGTCATTTAGTGTCATTTAGTTTAGCAGACTTTCAACGTAGTTGAATTGATTCTATAATAATTCGATAATCAAATATTTTTAATATCGATTAAAATCCCTTCTATTATTTCCCCTATGAGAATTATAAATTAAATATTTGTCGAAACTTTAATAAAAAGCAGATAAAATTTTATTTATTTAATATATAGTAAAGCAAAGTTTAAGAAAATTAAAATAATAAAATAAGATCTAAAAAAATATAAATTTTAAATTGAAATTATGTTTAGAATAAATTGAATAAATTAACAAAACAGAATAAATTAATTAATATTTTTGTAGAAAGTTCATCCAGTGTATTATTAAAAAAATTTATTAAAAAAAAGAAAAAGAAAAAAATTCTTCAAATTTGAGCTGGTGATGTTGCATGTTCACATGTTACAATACATTGAAATACATATGAAAAATTCTTTATAAATATATGGCTTGATTTCAAATAACTTTATTAACTTTTTATTAAAAAACAGAATTCATACTGTTTTATGGATTCATATTTTGAATCCATTTTTAAAAGTGCCTCTAAAAGTGGCTTGTAAGTATGGTGATCATATGTCTTTTATTCTAAAGAGCAGTCCTTTACCATAGGTAACTGTTTTTTAGTATTTTTTTTATTTTCTCAAAACTCTATTTTGTTCTTTATTTTACGGGAAGTTCTTTTTTAATTAGTTCTTAATGTCTAATATTTACTGATGAATACTGATGAATAAATTTTTAAAATAAAATATATAAAATATAAACATATATAAATATAATATGTTTGTGTTAATATGTCTAATATTTTTAATTTGTTAATCAAAATTATTCAGATTAAATCCGTTTTTATTTTTTATTAATTTTAAATCTATTCCAAAATTTGAATCAAGGATTTATTCTAATCCAAATTGGAATCAATCCTTGATTCAAATATTTCAAATAATATGAGTTCTTGATTTCAAACTATTAGAAAATAAAATGCACAGTATCTCATGTAAATATATTAGAAAATTTCGTAACGTATGCACAGATTTCTAATAGCCACAAACTGGTTTAGAAACATATAGAAACAAAGCTCTAAAATTTTCAAATTTATTCTTACTTTCTGGAAGAAAATATGATATACTTATGAGTCTTTTGATTGAGCTATTTTTAGAGATTTTTATAAAAAAGGATTCAGAATGAACCATAGTCAACAATCTCAAGCTACACATGTAAAAATTGTACAAACAAAAATTCCAATTTTTATTAAATTTTTTTATATTAAATTTCTATATTAAGTTTATTTATTTTTATAGAAAAAATTATTTTTAAGAATTTCTTAAAAGAAAAATTCTTTTGTATTATTTGAATTAGTAATGTTCATATATTAGAATATATTAAGAATAGATATAAAAAAAACTCTTCATAGATATGTGATTTGATTTTAAATAACTTCATTAAATAACTTCATTAAATAACTTCATTTAATTTTTTAAAGCTTCTCTCAAGCTACATATAAAAATTTTGCAAATAAAAATTTCAATTTTGTATTAAGTTTTTAATTTCCTTATGCTTTTATAGAAAAGATTTATTTTTAAAATTTATTTAAAAAATTTCATCAATGGGATTTGAACTAATAATGCTGGATATATCATGTTGAGAATGAATATAAAAGAATCCTTCATAAATATAACTTAATTTTAAATAATTTAATCAATTTTTAAAAAGTAAAAAACTATGCAGTTATATTGTTTCTGTCATTGTTAGTCAATAAACATATAAAAATTTTTAAAATAAAAACTTAATTTCACAAATTTTCAATAAAATCAAGCTTCAATTTCGTTTAAATTTATGTTCTCGTAAAAAATTATTATATTAGATTTAAAAAAAATTCTTTGTTAGAATTGAAATCAACTGCTTATATTATTTATATGTATATACAATAGATATAGAATTCACAAATATGCAATTCAATTTTGAATAATTTTATTAATTTTTATTAAAAAAAAAAACGGACCCACTTATATTGTTTGATGAATAAAAACTTATCATGTTACTTGTAAAAAATGTTCATCCATCTAGCGACTATAATTTCTACATTTTCTTTTCTAAAAAATATAACTTAATTGCGAATTGCGAACTATACATGATTCATAAATCGATAAAAGCGAACATCACATTTAGTCTGTTCAACGCGATCGGGCAGTAGTTCATTTTTAGCATATCGCTATTATTATATGTCATATCACATCAGTCAACGTCCTTCCTACTCGTGCAAGATAAGGTATCTTTTCTTTGTTGCAATATCATATCGCATTTAATTACTCATCGATGTCACATCAAATTTTATTATTAAATATATTTTCTATCGTAACACGCAGCCATAGTAATCGTCGTATGAAAATTTCAAATACGGATTTCAATTACGCTTGTACAAAGCAACGCTTTACGCGCGGACACTGTGTGACGATGATAATTCGCGTATGTATGTGTGACGACGTTAAAATGTATGTGCATGATGAGCATACGCGCCATGCGCGTGCTTTGCGTCGCGAGATCCATTCGCGTACCTGCCGATTGATCCAAATGCGTCGCCGACATCATCGCGTTGCATCCCGTTGTTCATGCTGTTGCTGTCGGTGGTACACATGGCGATTGATCCTGATTCCGACCAGGAGGGAGCTTTCTCGTTGCACGAAAGATAGGCGTCCTCGTCGAAGAAGTGCGTCGCAAGAGCAACTCCAACAGCTCGAGCAGATTGACACGTACAACCAAACATACGCAAGGTAGATGCGCGTCTGCAAACAACACGCGCGAAGTGACTCACAGCTGCGACAGCGTTGCCAATCGAAGCACGTAAAAGGTTCATTTTTCGGGATCGGCTAGTTCCTTTTATATTATCATAGGCCAGAGGATCGATCATGTAACTTTTCCCCTAGGGCGGAAGCAAAGTGCAAAGTGAAAAGTTTCACGTGAACTTACGACTTCACGGGACTTCATGTTAAGGCGGGAGCACATATTTCTGCATAATGCATAAGGCATAGGAAAATGAATCAATCATAATCCTCCATTTCTACTCTTACGATGGAAATGAAAAATTTTGATTGGTTTATTTTTTTATACGTAATGCATTATGTATTATGCAGAAGTGTGTGCTCCTGCCCTTATTCTTTTAAGTCCTGTCTACAATGCATCGTGCGTCGTGAAATTTTTCACTTTTCACATTTCCGCCCTAGGGGAAAAAGTTATATGATTGACCTCCAGTATGCGAAAGCCATTAACGGTAACATAATATACACCAATGAAATGCTAGGAAAAGAGTAAATACAGGGGTACCAATGTTCTTCTCCGGGCGCACATTATTTATGCGTGCCAGTTCATTATTTGTTATTATATCTTGATCAGATAAAAGGTTCGGTTGAAAGAATCATCTTTTTTTGAATTGGATTTTTTTAACTGAATCTTTTGTTCGATCAAATACTACGAATCAGTCCATATAATGACGATGCTTTAAACGCAATCATTGACGTTTGGGCATATATCGTATGAAAGTTCTTTTTTTTGGGATCTGTTGGATTAGATCTCGAATATCTTGCACATAAAACACATGGTTGAATACCTGAAATAATCTAATTATTATTTTTTATTATCATCTCGCTTCGGGACGAAGCAACGCTCTTCTTCCAAATTTTGTTTCATATAAAAACACGTCAAATGAACATAATTTATCAATATTGGAGCTGAGGTTAATTAAATTGAATAATTATTTAATCTGATTTTCCCGCGACCGTTTACATCTCTTGGTGTATATCTATCTTGTTATAAGAAGAAGAACAGCTTTCAGAATTAACATTGTGAAGGAAATTCAAATCTTCTTATTTCTGGTCGTGTCTGTGTTCAGAGAAATTAAAATTAAATTATGTCTATGCTCGCGGAGCGCCGGCAGAAACAGAAATGGAGTCTCAATCCCCGAGGAAAGTGGTGGGCCGAAGGTAAATATTTCTTATATATAAAAAGTCTTATATATAAAAATATATATAAGACTCATAGATATATGGAAAATTTATTGTTCTCATGATTTATAAATTATGACTCTTGTCTGTGTATCTGATGTTCATTTTTATCAATGTAGATTAATCATGGTTTAATTTATTCTATTTTATCAAATAATTTATATATATATATATTAATTATATATTATTAAATATATATTAATTTATTTTATCAAATAGATAATAGAGGCTTCCATCGGCAGACTGAGT